ACTGCCTTGAGCATCTGACTGCGTGAATTGGAGAACTTAGTTAATTTCTCTATGTCTCAGTTTCATTGTCTGTAAAATGGGGTTGATAATAATCATACCAGTCTTATAGGGTTGTTTTGAGATTATGCATCTGGAGGAATTAGCATAGTGCTGGGCCCACAGCAAGCACTCAATTATAATCACTGTCATTAGTAGGAATCCAGGGCTCTGGTTATAATTTGCCAGAAGAAGAAGATACTTTGGCTGATACAGACAAACAATTGGCCAGCCAGTTCAGCTTAGAGTTTGGATCGATGAGTCTTCGAGGACACAACTCTGAACTGCCGTGTGCCGGGTGTGTGGGTGTCTCAGATGGGTAGACACGCACCGCAGAGTCAAGCTTTCCTGAGACCCCGCAGGGAGGCCTTTTCCCTGCCTCTCTGCACATCTTTCCCATTGTTCAAGCCCAACTCACATCCTCCCTTGGTTTTTGTTGACCACTCCTTCCTCTGAGCTTAAGCAGCTCTCTTCACAGACTCATCGAACCCCTGCTGTAGGTGAGACTATAAAGATCATCTAACCCAGCCACATCATCATAGCTTCATTCAACAAACAGTCATCAAAGACCTGCGCTGGGTGCTGAGGATGGAGTGATGAACAAGGTGGGCGAGAGACTGAGGGCAACAGGGCCTGGGAGGGAGGTAAACACCACAAAGCTGAGCACAGGCCTGGCAGTCAGGAGCCCTGGACCTAAGCCCTGACTCTGCCATGTGACCTGGGATGCCCTTCACCTGCCAGCCACTGTTTCCTCCTGGGAAGAACAAGGAACTTGCAGGAGATGCTCCCCAGGTCCCTTCACACTCTGACCTGCCAACTCTGAGCATGTAGGCCTCCCTATGTTGCTCTTTAAACATCTTCTTCTCCACTGAAATGCAAGCCCCGTGAGGGCAGGGACTCTGTGCTAGACTTTCCAGGGATCAGGGAACTCCTTGCACGGGGACTGGGCACAGACTTGCCAAAACAATGAGTAAACCAATAAAATGTACTTCCTCCAGGCCAAGTGTGGACCGGAAACGGTGAAAGAACAGAGTTTTTAACCGGGAGAAGCGGGAAATAGATCCCCAAAAACCTCACACTGTACCACTTGGAGATTGACGATGCCCACCAGTGTGTTAAAGCCTGCAGTAAAAAACAAAAACAAAAACAACTCCCACAAAAACCTATTTACCTTTGCTTATTCCAGTCTTTTCCAAACCTATTTGAGCATAGATCACTTTCTGCACCTCACGTGTTACCTTCTTGTGAAACACTTGTGAAATGCTATATTAGATCTTTTCTTTGTTTTCAGCTGGGTTTATTAAAAATAAGGTCAAGTTTGGTAAAGATGCTAGGTTTCAATGTCATTGTGGCCTGAAATAGGAACCTTATTGCTGAGCTCTGCCACCCTCACTGGCGCTGGGCTAGGACCTTAGATGACATTCTGAGCCCCCCATTGTGTAAGTAAGTACCATTCGACCCAGGCAACACCTCATTTCCCAACTTTCACCAAATGATGAATGGGATCATGTTTTCTCTCAAATCATCCACATCAGGATTACAGGCCGAGGAGGCCAGTTCAGTAGAAGTTCATGGGATAGTGGTCCAGAGTGATTGGCATGTCAGCCCAGGAAAGCCAACAAAACATTGGACAACAGTAAGAGAAGATCAGCTACCTATTGAGGGGGTGATGTTGCTGGACTGGAGCTGCTCAGACCTCATCTGGATGCATGAGTCTATTCAGTTTTAAGAGAGATTTTTATTTTTTAATTTTATGAGACAGAGTCTGTCACCCAGTCTGGAGTACAGTGGTACAATCACAGCTCACTAACATCCTCAGCTTTCCAACCTCAGGCGATCCTCCCACCTCAGCCTCCTGAGTAGCTAGAACTACAGGCATGCGCCACCATGCCTGGCTATTTTTAATTTTTTTTGTAGAGATGGGTCTCTCTATATCGTCCAGGCTGGTCTTGAATTCCTGGGCTCAAGTGACCCTCCCACCTCAGCCTCTCAAAGCGCTGGGGTTACAGGCGTGAGCCACCATGCCCAGATGAGATATTGCTAAAGTTGAATATAAGCAAAGAAGGAAACCAGAACAGGGAAAGGTCTATAAATTTAGTCAGAAAAGAAAAAAGATATGCAGCCTGGCAAAAGGAAGGTGTGGGGGCCTGCGGTAGCAGTTCTCGAATATTTGAATAGCTGTCATTTGGTTGAGATTGGGCACATCCTTTGAACTGCAGAGAGCTAAGGCAGATTTGGGCTTGATAAAGAAAAGCATGTGTGCATGACTGTGGGCAATGAAATTAGATAAATGTCTGTGTGGGGAGCAAGCCCCTTGTCCCTGGCAGCTTTTGAGAGACTGAGTTGATACCTGTTGGGTCAGTGTAGAAAGCCAGTGGGTGTGAGATGGTGCCAGGTGAGGTGAGCTCTAAGGCACTGCCCCCTCTCAGATTCTGTGACAGAGGAGCCAACATTCCCCATGGTCTCCAGACAACATCTTTATTCAGCCTCCCTGTCCCAAACTGCAGCCCGCTCACCTCTGGGGCACCCCAGGAGCCGTGGCTTTGGCCTCCAGCAGGTGGAATTTCTGGGCAGCACATTTCTCCTGCTCAGAGTGGCTGGAGGGCTTGCTAGCGTTTTGTAGCAACTCCTGGACTTTGAGGAGGGTCTCGGTCCACAACGCTGGTGGCCAGTCACAGCGACAGGAGGGATGCTGCCCTGCAGAGAGAATGTGGAAGGCATTAGGACAGCACCAAGGTGTCTCCCGTCCCGAGATCCTCCAGCGCATGGACTGACAAGTCCAGCCCGTGGTGAAATGGCCAGATTTTCTAGGAAGAGAACTTTCATCATCTAAGTCAAGGTCACCACCATGGGCCTGGGCCTTGACTTTCTCTTCTCTGGGGAGGAAAACCTCTGCAAGGGGGCTTCTGTGTGAACAGCACTGTACAAACACATGATTGACATACAGACTCAAGACCTCTGAGGCAAGCGGGGAGCCCTGGCTAGAATCCAAAGAACCTAGTCCCTGGCCACAGTGTGACCCAAGGAAAGCTCCTGGGATGGATTCAGGTTTTGCAGGGCTGGAAGCTTAGACCATTGAGGGCTGGAAGCTTAGACCTCTCTAAGGAAAACAATACACAATTACGAATACAAAATTAGGTAAAATATGATTATTAACATATTAATAATCAAATGTGATTATTAATTTAGAACGATAAAAAGAAATTGCAACAAGTTACAAATCTTGAGAAAACTGATAAATGCCATCATGAAATCCAGACAGATAGCATAATATTTGCATTAACTGACACACCTCAAAAATGCTTTCTAAATTTAAAAAAAATTTTTTTTACATTACTTCTGCTCACAGCTTTACACAGGCTGGCTTCTGGCTCCATGCATTTCAAACCTTGTCTTTCCTACACTACACACACACCTCTGGTGCAGGCACCTGAGGCCACAGTTATACTGTGATACAACTTCTGGCTCTGCAACTTCATGTCACAAAGCACGGTGAGTTGGCCCAGTCGGTGATAGGAGAGTTCCTGCAAGTCTTTCCCTGCCCTGGAAGTATATGCATGGCCTGTCAACCATATAAACACATCCCACCAATCCCAAGCCAGAGTCAGATCCCCTCAGAATGTTCACCAGACCCACCGAGAAGCCAGAGCAGAGAAGGGTAGCAGCCGTGATTGACTGTAGTTAAACTTTCTACAAATGTTTTCATATCTGACCATGTGAACACGTTACTAGGGCCCAAAAGGAACCTGAAGCTTGAGCTGTGTAAGTGTCATGGTATAAGCATCCCAAATCTGCTTCTGGGGCTCCTCTGATACTCACTCTCTTCATCTATATAATGATCAAAACAATTCTGGCATGTGTATCCAGATCCTTTTTGGTGAGAATCTGAAATGGACGAAAACATAAAGCCTCTGGAACCTAAAAGCGCTGCCTACAGGGTTAAGATGACAACTGTGAAGACCACAGTGATGCAGGCTGAGCAGGAACTGTTGAGACTTCTTTGGTTTTAGGGGTCAGCACTCCTGCGGGGTCTAATGTCCTGCCAAATGTTCACTCTTAGAGACTGGAAACTCTCACACGAGAACTTTCGGCTGGGTGCGGTGGCTCACGCCTGTAATCCCAGCACTTTGGGAGGCCGAGGTGGGTGGATCACCTGAGGTCAGGAGTTTGAGACCAGCCTGACCCACATGGAGAAACCCTATCTCTACTAAAAATATAAAATTAGCCAGGCTCAGGGGCGCATGCCTATAATCCCAGCTACTTGGGAAGGCTGAGGCAGGAAAATCACTTGAACCTGGGAGGTGGAGGTTGCAGTGAGCCGAGATCACGCCACTGCCTGGGCAACAAGAGCAAAACTCCATCTCAAAAACAAAAACAAAAACAAAAACAAAAAACAAAACAAAAAAACCTTTCAAGCTTAAGGCTTTGATCCCAGCTAAAGGACATCTCTCTGGAAGGCATGGCATGTGAGGCTGTAATCAGATATCTGCTACCTTGTAAGAATGAGCCCATCTGGTCACTAAATCAACATTTACTGAGTGTTCCCCTAGAGCCAGAGGGCACCAGGCTAGGGCCTGCATGTACAAATCGAAAGGGTCAGAGCCCAGTGTCTAGAAGGGGAGACAAGTCAGACACGTGCATAAATAGCCACAATTCTAGACAAAGGGATGAGATCCATGGGCCAAGTAGATGTCTGAGGCAGTGGGAGCCCAGAGGAGGCCTGGTCAGGGATAACTGGGGGTACCTGACCAGGCCCTGCTGAATGGGAAGCCTTAAACAGGTGAAAAAGGGGGCACTGGGTACTTGAGAAGGGTGAAGGTTTTCCAGCGTAGAAAACACTTTCATAAAATGTGATAAGCACATTTGTGAGTGACCCATGGGCCAGAAGAAATGCCGGAAGACTTGGGAAGCCAGCAAATTTAGCTCCACTCATTGCACTTTCTTTTTTTCCCTATCTCTCTCAGTTTTCATACCTTCCACACCACCACTCTCCAGAGAGAAATGTGACAATGAGCTTCAGCTCCATCAAATCCAGACTTCATGGACCCTCTCTGGGTTGGCTTCTCAACCGACTTCAGAGTTGTGAGCTGAGAAAGAACAGCGGGAGAGAGGCACAGTTTTCCAGGGACTCCTGCCTTGCTGGGGACTTCCACAGCCCCTGACCAACCATCCTGGAGTCACTGCTGAGACAGCAGCCTGAACAAGGGCAATGGGACCTCAGAGACAGCATCGGTACTGTCAGAGCCCCAGGGCTTTCGACCCTTTGCTCCAGTGAGCTTAGAGCCATAATATTATCATCCAGAATGATGAGAGAGTAAGTGGCAAACATACCTAGACATCTTCTGAGCCCAGCAGACAGAATTTGGGTTTAAGGAGAACCTGGGTAGTTTAATGACACATGCTATTTTTTTAAATATAGGCATCATACTCTATGAATTGTAATGATTCATCCCATCTCAAGAAGATGGAATTTTAGATGTATGTGGATATATTTGAAGCCAACACTGTTTATTTTGTGTAATGTTTTTGTGCCTATTAGTTTCTGAATATCTGTGCATAAAAGCTTCTGTTTCTCTGCCTGCACACATTTGTGGGTACACCCTATACACCTATGTGGGGTGGGAGGGGGGAATGTGCATATTTGTTTGCATTTACCTTGTGTTTGGTCTTAGGAAGAGATCTTGGTGATCATTCTAGCCCAACTCTTTCACCTCACTGGTGAAGAAACTGAGGTCCACAAAGGCAAAGGTGACTTGTCACAGATCACACAGCTGGCTATGGAGACAGAGATGACACAAGAACCTAGGATTTCTGATTTGTAGATGAGGACCTTTTCTATAATATTAAAATCAATTATAAATTGCAGGGAGGGAAGCAGGGAGATCCTTGTTTTTTCCTCCCCCAACCGATAAGGAAGTACTAAGAAGGTCAGTCTTGAATTAGCTATATAATACCAAAAGTTAAGTTTTTCACACTGACCTGGTTCAGTATTGATTCCTTTTATGAACACCCTATTTATACTCAAGTCGTCAAAGAATTCCAGAGGGCATATGAAGCCTTTGTTAAAATAATTATATGCCTTTGTTTTTGAAGAAAAGTATCCAAAATATATAAGCTTATTGTTTGAGTTAAACAATAAAAACATCTGCTGTTTCTCATGATGGCTCTAGTCTTAATATAACATGGCAAAATAATACCCCCTAAATATCCATGATTAACCTGAATTGGAGAGGGCTCACCTCCCAGTGACTTCATGTAGCTGCTTCAACTGGCTTTGGTTAAAAAAACAAAAACAAAAGCACAAAAGCCAAAATGTAGACAGATCATCACCCAGCATTCTGATGCAAGAAAATATTAAAACGAATCACTGCTTTTAAATGGATAGTGTGTTCCTACTAGAAAAGAATCCCACAAATTTGAGGCTTAAAAAACATGGAGCATATGCATAGGTGCCAATGCAGAATTTCTGGATCGTGTTCAAATCACATTTAAGCACAGGTGTGCCTGTCATTAAGCATTTATGTTTACCTGTACACATGAATGTTTGCCTGGGCAACTGTGTTTGTTCTCACTCTGGTGTGAATATATTTGTGTGTGAGTGTGAAGTTTTCCAGATAATTTTGGGAACTGTCCCTTCTATCAAACTAAAATATAGCCCCTCCAAAATGTCAGCTGAAGAGGGGGCTGTCAGGGTTTAAGGTGGGTGGGGGTAGAACACGCCGCCTGACTCTTTTCCCCAGAGTTTCATTTTTCCCTTGGGATTTCCTGGCCTGCTGGATCGCCCACCCCTAATATAACTCCTGTCGAAGAGGAGACTTCTGGATATATCTGAGCCAACCTGTCATTTTCAAAGATATTTCCCTAGATACTAAGGAAGAACAAAATCAATGGGAAACACAAAAAGCATCAGGCCTGACCTGCCTATTTTTCAGGTCCTTCTTTTGTTAGACATTTCTCCAGGCCCTTCCAGCCTCAACGTGCACCTTCCGTGTTTCTGCAGCCTCTTGCCTGGATTTCCAGCTCCTTGGCTCTGGCCTTGTCACAGCATGGAATGCACGATATAATCCTAACATCCCACAGTTCCCTCCTCCCAGCTCCCACAGGTCAAGGTCCTTGTGAGCAAGGCCATTCCCATTCATGATAGTTACCTGTGCTCACGATGTGCCAGCCATGGGGCTTGTCTTAGTTAATCCTCGCTATGACTTTCCAAGGCAGATGCTGGGGATGTCCCCATTCCACCGGTAAGGAAACTGCAGCTTGGCACGCATACATTTCCCAGGCACACAGCTGGCAATTGGTAGAGCTGGGCTGAGAACTCGTCTCTTGCTGTTTCCGAAGCCAGGCTCTTAACCATGACATTAAAAAGCTTCCTTTTGCCAGAGGGGTCCTCAGGTCTGCTCTCCCCACCTGACCACCCCTTTATTTCCACATATATGTCACCTCCCAGGGACAGCCAGACTGTAGTCACCGGCACGATGAATGACCTCGCCCTTCAGGTAGGTCATTTAAACCAGGTTGTGGTTCTTTAAAGCCCACTGCGTGTAACTAGCATAAAACCTCCTACACTCAGGTTGTAGAAGTACTTGGAGTGGATGCAAAGAGGAGGGTCCTTCTCTACTTCCAGCGTGGGGGCACGGAGCAGCTGTGCTGATACCCCCAGGCCCACTCAGATCCCCTCCCAGCAGACAGCAGCCCCTTTCATCCTGTCTGCCTTAGCGGTTTATTTTAGGCATAGTCTGACCAGGTGCTCTGGGTCAATAGGCTTAGTTTTAAATAACTGGATTCCTCTCAATGACCGTTCCCTTTAGAAGGGAAGCGGCGTGGTAGAAGAATGAGCCAGCAGCCTGGCGGCGGTGGGAGATGGGAGCTAAGACAGAAGACTGGAAACGTGAGGGCTCTGTCACTCCCTGCGTGACCTCAGATAGGCTCATGGCTTCCCCACTCTGGGCTTCAGTTTCCTTATCTATAAAGCAAAAGATTGGTCTGGGTCATCTCGAACACCTCCTGCAGTCTGTCCCCCCATCTCTGTTCTATGCCTGTGTTTCCAGATGACAAGACACATCCTGCAAATTGTTTCAGGGTGGTGATTTCGCATGGAGGAGCTGAGCCACCGAGGGATGCAGCAGCTTATAGAGCAAGCTCTGCTCTGGAGTCGGGAGGCCTGGGTTCTAGTCTTGCTTCTGATACAAACTCGGTGGCCTTGAACAAGCTAAGCCCGGTTTTTCTCACCCGTTTAAAGGATGAACCTTGAAAACATTATGCTGAATGAAATAAGCCAGGCACAAAAGGATACATACTTTATGATCTCATTTATGAGGTACCTAGAATAAGTAACTTCATGGAGACAGAAAGTAGAATGGTGGTTGCAGGAGCTGGGGGAGGGGAGGAGAAGGGGGAGTTATTATTTAATGGGTGCAGGATTCTGTTTGGGATGATGAAAAAGTTTTGGAAATGGTAAGTGGTGATGGTTGCACATCGTGAATGTATTTGATGCCACAGAATAGTACACTTCAAAAGGTTAAATGGTAAATTTTATGTTATGTGTATTTTAACATATAAAAAACACACACTTTTCAAAATTTAGTTAAAATTTCTAGGGATATTTTGGCAAAACCTGGGAGTGAGGAGTTCCAATTCTCCTGTGTGAACTTAGGCCATACATTTCGAAGAAGTAAATTTTCTTCCTCTGGCAAATGCAGCTAGCCAGCGGCCCCCTTCTTTCCCTCCAAACTTCGCACTCCACACCTTGGAGTGTGCCCAGGTGCAGCCAAATTGTCAGGGCATACTCAAAGCAGCTTCCATGACCCTGCAAAGGGAGCTCCAGTCCTGGCTCACAGGCCATTCTCAGGGGTACCTAGATCCCTTCTCTGGGTTCTATGTACCCTCTTATTTTCGAATTAAGACAAAAGGAGGGCTTTCCAACCATATTGACCTTTTACAGCAGACCTAGCTCAGCCATGCTTGAGTCCCCAGTGCCTGAGCCAGTGCCCGACACAGCAGGTTCTCAACATTCATTTGGTCACTGAGAAGACGCCCTCACTCCAGTCCTATTCTATGCCAGCTTCATAAAGATGAGTGTAAGGAATAAGCCAATTTCTGTCAGGCAAGAAAGCTATAGGGGTGGGTAGGTGAAGATGAAGAAGGAAGATACATAGGTAGAGTAGACATTAAACTGCTCATTGCAAATAATTGTTTAAATAGTCACAATGTGCCAAGTGCTGAGGAAAATTTGAACATAGTGCCAGGGGGTGGCTGGACTCATCTAGGGCTCTCCGGAGGGCAGGCTTGCGGAAGTCACGAGGGGTTGGAAGGGCAGCTACGAACTTTGGGGTGGGGAGTAGCACCAGACAGCATTAAAAAGCCTGGGATTCTACCCAGAGCATCCATGCTCCTCCTGGGGGGTAAGCTGAGTCCGAAAGAGGCAGGAAGCTCGTGTCCCAGGTGACTTAGGCCAGTAGAAACCGGGCGTCCTTGGCCGAGGCATGGCAGGCTCTTGGCACATGGATGACACATGCCTGTGTGCTACCACAGGCTCCAAGTCGGTGGGTGACAGGGACCCCTCGCCTCTCAGACAGCGGAGCCGGGTCGGGGCCTTCTGGCCCGGGCCGCCGCCCCTGTTCCTGGGCTTGTGGGGCTGGGGTCCGTCTGGGCTCCGGGCTCGCGCGGCGCTCACCACCCGGGGTGCCGCGGGGGGGCGGGGAGAGCGGCCGCCTAGCCCAGCCCCGCGGATGACAGGAGCCGGGGAGCCGAGGAGGGAGGAGCCGCCGCCGCAGCCGAGCGCTGGGCTGAGGAGCAGAGAGAGCGGGGCGCGGAGTGCGGGCGGCTGGGAGCGCGCTGAGCGGGGGAGAGGCGCTGCCGCACGGCCGGCCACAGGACCACCTCCCCGGAGAATAGGGCCTCTTTATGGCATGTGGCTGGTAACTTTCCTCCTGCTCCTGGACTCTTTACACAAAGGTGAGACCTGCGCGGGCGGCTGGGCAGCGGAGGCGGCGGGGCCAGGGTGGCGCGGCTGGCGGCGAGGCGGGGTGCCTGACGGGCTCCAGGTGCCTGGGGGGACCAACGGGGTGCAAGGCCTCGGGTGGGGCGCAGCGGGGCGGGGCAGGCACCCTGACAGGGGCCGAGTGAGAGTCAGCTGCCGACCGCTCCGCCAGTCACCCGCGTCTGCCGTTTTGGGGCACGCCCGTAGGGGTGGTGGCGAAGGAGCCCCTCATCTCTCGGCTCCCCGCCGGGCGGCAGTTCTGCCCTGGACCCCTCCCCCAGCCCCTTGCCCGCTTCCTGCGGTTGGTGGCGCTGGGACCCCGGAGTGCCCTCCGAGTCGAGGGTTCCTCAGGCCGTGACTCTTGACCTAGGAATCCTCGCTTATTCGGGCCTCGGACTCGGCGGTTGATGTCTCCGCTATGTGCGTGCGCCCCTCTCCTGCCGCGGACCCCAGCCCTGGCGCGAATGTTGGCGCACCGCATGGCGCTTATCCGCGCATTGGCTGGAGGCAGGGTGGGGATAGTGAGAGTCCGGAGAGCTGTAGGTCCCTCGGATAGCAAGTTTGTTCTCCAAACCCAGAGGTCACCCTCCTCCGGCCCCACCTCACCCCTCTGCCCCGGGCGCTAGCCCCGGCTTGGTGCGCCACCGTGGCCACCTCGGGCAGCGCACCCCAAGGTGCGAGATTCTCCGCTTCCGCGCCTGGCCAGTTGGACCTGGGGACAAGTCTTCAGGCTGGGGGGCGTGTCCTTCTTCCTGGAGAGAGAGGGTTGCTGGGGGTGGGTCCAGGTGGCCGGCATGTCCAGACCTGTGGCTGGGGCGCAGCGTACCTGATCCGCGAGGTAGCCGGGACCAGGAGGTTGGAAGAGGGCAGACATTTCCGACTGAAGTCACCTGTGCACTGAGTCGGGACCAGGCAGGCGCAAGTAGTCGGGCTTCCAGGCTATCGCAGAGGACGTGCCCCGGGGAGCGCAGATGGCGGGAGATGAGGCGGCCGAACTCCGCGCCCTTGCGCGGTAGAGCACACACGCTCCAACAAGCTCAGCATCACCTGTTCAGCCCTCTAACTTTTCTCTTTCGCTCCCCGGGGCGGCTTCTCTCTTCCTTTGCCCGGGCTGTTGCCCTGGTCGGGCGGCAACTCTTGACCCCCAGGCGATGAGGAAGGGCACTCCAGCGGAGCGTTGGCGCCCGGGGAGGGTTCCAGCCCTGCCCTGCTGGTGCTCCAGGGGTCTGGAGTCTGCAGCCTGCCGGAGCCCACTGCGATACACCGTGGGCTGGGGGAAGGAGGATAACCCTTATTTGTACATACCGCCGGGTCAAAGCTAGACTCAAGGCCAAGATACTGCTGGCATGGCATTTACTGCGCGATCGGATTGCGGGACAAGGAAGGGTGGCATCCAAAATCGTGGACAAAGTAGTTGAGTTTTTCAGGCCCAGTGGGGTCCCCCCGGGTTACACACCAAGGCTGGTCTCTGCTGTTTAACCCCTTGCCCCCCGCATCACACTCCTTCATCCTACCTTAGCAGAGCAAGAAGCCTGCCTCCTGTTCAAGCCCCACCCCCGAACCCCAGTCTCCCTCTCCCCAGGTTCTTCCTGCCTCCCTCCGCCCCCGCAGGCTGGCTCGGCTCGCAGCTTTAATTACATTAATATTAAAAATACATAAGGTGAGGAGCGGCTTTCTCTCTCGATAGCTCTCTCTCCAACCCCCATCCCCTTTCCCAATTTGTCAGGCGAGAAAGCACAGGCCCAAGCCGCTGCCACACTCTAGTCCGGCTTTGTCCCCAACTCCCCCATGCCTCCACAACACTCTCTGGAGACATCTTCCAGGACAGCCCATTCCCCGGGACTGCAGGAGGCCCCTCAGCAAATACCGGAAGGACGCTCCCCTCCCCCTTCCAGGAGCCTGGCATTAATAAATGAAGCCGAGCTATTTGATAGGGCGGGAGCAGATGGGGGTGGGGGTGCAGAAAGACCCAGAAGGCAACAGGACAGCCAAGGGGCAAAATCTTGTCCAACTCGAGAGGGAAGTTGCCAGTGGCCTTGGACCTGTAAGCGGGCGGGAGGTGCCAGTTGTGGCGGCCCCTCAGTGGCCTTTGGGTCTGCAGAGCCTGGTGCCCCTGCGATTCAGAGGCTCCAGCGTCTGCTGGGCGCCAGGGCACCTCGCCAGACAGGCCTTTCTTTTCCTTGGTGCCTTAATTGGGTCTTAGGTGCCAGGCTGGTCCCCGGGGCCTGTTCTGCTTGGGGTGGCGTGGTAGGGGGTGGCAGAGGCGGCTCGGGGAAGATGTGATGCGGAGACAGCAAGAAAGATGGGGTTTGGTGTATTTTCTCTCCCGTTGCCAGTCACCCCCGCGGCACCAAGGAAAATGTAAATGTGAATGTTCGAGCCTGTTACAGAAAACAATATCCTCTTGCAATAATTTGTACGTCCATCTGTGAGGAGCGGGAGGAGGCAGGGAGAGAGAGAAGAAAACAGGATGAGATGGAGCATCCTCTGGATGGAATTAAGCAGTTATTGAATGTGTTTTAAGCTTCTGTTATTTCCATTCCTCTCAAAATACCTTTTTTTAAAATGATGCCTGAGCTCGGACCGATTCCCTAGAACTAAACTGGGAAGGGGTTTTAATCATCGGTTATCAAGTCTCCAATAACTGCCTTATTATTGCCAAAACAAATCCAGGTTTAGGCAGCCGGATGAACCCCGGCGAGGCGCTCTCCGTTGTTCCATCCAGCGTGCCAGCATCTGTGTTGCCTGCATTTGCATTTTTACTGTGTAAAAGAACAAGCTTCCCCAGCACTAAAATTCCTGTTTTCTAAAAGCCAAAATAATGGATTGCATTGATTTTTTCATTTCCCACCCCAACTTCTCCGATGGGGACTCATGGTTCTTCTCTCTTGAGAAGACCAAATTAAAAGCCTTCGTCAGGCCATTAAGAAAATCTCCAACATTCTGTTCAGTGTCTAATTAAAAAAAGGGAGGGGGGGCGATGGGGAAATGTGTTTTTAAAATCTTGAAATGGCAAACACAACTTAGGGGAGAGAGGTGAAGGGCCAGTGAATACTGGGGAGGGGGTGAGTGGCAGAGAGACCCCGGTTGCTAGAATAACATGAGGGAGATTGGCAGTGCCATGATGCCCGACAAGCCTTTCTGATGCTTCTTTTTTCTGGGCATCAAAGCCAGCTGCCTTTAATATATTTCTGCAGTGGAATGGGGAGCTCAATTAGAAACAAAAAGCAAGTAAGCAGTGGACCCAAAGGCAGCGCTTAAGTTGAACAGATCCCAGGGGACTGGCCAGAGAGGCTTAGTTTTCTTAGGATGAGGATCAGAAGGGAGGTGGGCAAGCAGGCAGGGCTTTGGCCCAGGGAGAGCTTGCTAGAGAAGCAGGCCCCCAACAGGCTGGCTGGGAGCCCCCAAACACAGGGCCAAGGTCTGCCCAGAGCACCCCATGGGCTGTTAGCCTATGACAGAGAGGTGCAGAGCTCAAGCCTTGCTGACCTTCTCTGTGTCTTAGAATTCCATCCTTGCCACTTACTTGGTACCCTGCTCTGGCTGGTGAGGGATGATTTAATTGTAGATGAAGAGAGGGGAGGGCAGATGCTCAGAGAGCTTTTCTGCAGGGATATGAGTTCCAGGCTGGGAGGTTCTTCCTTCCTGCATGATCTTGGAGGAGTTGTTTTCTGGGCCACCTCTGAAGTAGTCAAGAAAATATCCCCTAGTTCCTGAAGCGCTTTCTCAGGTCCCAGCCCAGTCGATTCTAGCGGGTACCCAGGTGCATGAATAGGGTGTGAGCTACAGGCAGCAGCGATGGCAGGGCGCCAGGAACCCAAGGGCACGCCCCAGATTTGCATATAATCTGCATATGGATTTGTATGCTCACCTAGCCAGGCCAAAAGCTGTGCCCTCTGTGAGTAGCATCTTGATCTCAACCTCAGTAGCAGCCAGGCAGTGGCTTCCTCCTTGCATGGAAGGGGGTGGGGCCGGAGCTGGGAGAAGGACTGGTATTGGTAATGCTTCTGTCTCCTAGATTTTGTTGCCTCCCATATGCGCCTCCAGTGCTCAGCACTGGCTTCACCATCTGGCAAGGCAGCCCCAGAGCTCCCACCACCCCTATCCAAGGACAGACAGTGGCACTGGGGATATTGGAGTAGGGTGGGTAGCAATGGGCCAAGACATCGTAAAGTAGACCCAACTTGGGATGTGGGTTGCGCCTCTCATGCTGCAGGGAGAAGAGGGTGAAGGGAGGGGCAAACTAGCTGTAGAAATCCAGGGCCTGCATTAGCTTCCTGGTGGGTGCACCCCTAGAATGCAGGGAACTGGGTGCCTAGGGCTGCCATCAGCAGGTGGTGAGGCAGTGGCTGATGGCATGGGGGTATGAAGTGAGGCGGAATGTTCTTTCACCCTCCTGATTTGTCAACACCTAGCCTGGGAGGTGGTTGTGGCTTCAGAGGGATGAAAGAAATAGCACCAGCTTCTCATTCCACCTCTCCTAGGGCAGCTTCAGGTATGTGGGTTGGTTCTGGCAGGGCAGAGGGAGGACAGGCACTGCGGTCACTGAGGGAAGGGCGTGTCAAGAGTCTGGAGTGATGCTTGAGGAGTGAGCACTTCAGGAGAGCTGAGCGGCCCCTCCTAGCGAGCCAGCTGGGATGCTGCAGTGGGAGTGTGGCCTCGGGAGTGGTTTTGTCTGCATTTCCAGGGCCCTGAGAGGATACTACCATGGCAGGTGCTGCTCCAAAGCCTTCCCAGAGTATTTTTCAGCACATCCACTGATCCAGAAGGGGCCTGGTCCACCGGAGTCCACAAAGGTTTCCAAGGGATGTGGTATGGAGGCCTAAGGGGTAAGGTGGAGCCTCAGGGGATGGATGGAGGTAGAGACGGGGAGGGCCAGAGGGCAGAGCTTCAAGCACCACCTGCCCTGTTCTCACTGCCATTCTTTCAACCAGAGCTTTTATTCATTCTCCAGTTTCATATATTGGAGTAGAAT